CTGTGCTCTGCCCAACACGGGTATCGAAATCCGGATTCTAGCGTTGTAAGTCCGCAGACATACCGCTGTGCCACTGGGGGGGGGGGCAATGAGACTGAGAAGAAATTATAGAGATCATTCTCCGTTGCATTACAAAATAGCATGCGCAAAAATATATAACATATATATATATTTAAATACTGATTAATATTATTTCTAAACTTATAGGTAAGCCATTTGTTCATGAAACAATATAGAAACCAGATTTAGTAATTTTTCAATTTTCATCTTAGTTCTTGAGTGTTCATAGATATGGGGATTATCATTGCAATTAATTTGAAATCTTCACTGAGAACTGCCTATCTGAAAATTATTAATAATTTGATTAGATCTTTTGGAGATGATATATATTAATTAAAAAATAACAAATTTTAAAGATGTTTTGGAGAAAACGTGGTTTTAGTTGTTTTAGTGGGCTTTGAAGATAACTAGTCCTAAATTTTTATTAATTTTCTTTTGTAGCACAAGTTTCAAGGTAAAGTGGATTTTAATTTTCACGTGTATTTCAAGAATAATAACTCTTCACTGTTTTTGTTTTTTCCAGAGATTAAAGTACTTTACGACATTGTATTCACGTTGTATTTCAAGAATAACAACTCGTCACTGTTTTTTTTTACCGGAGATCAAGGTACTTGACCCGGCATGGCCAGGTGGTTAGGGCGTTCGACTCGCAATCTGCGGGTCGCGGGGTCGATTCCCCGTCACACCAAACATGCTCGCCCTTTCATCCGTGGGGGCGTTATAATGTGACGGTCAATCCCACTATTCGTTGTTAAAAGAGTAGCCCAAGAGTTGGCGGTGGGTGGTGATGACTAGCTGCCTTCCCTCTAGTCTTACACTGTTGAATTAGGATCGGCTAGCGCAGATAGCTCTCGTGTAGCTTTGCGCGAAATTCAAAACAAACAAGGTACTTTACGACATTGTATTCACAATGTATTTCAAGAATAACAACTCTTCACTGTTGTTTGTTTTTCAGAGATCAAAGTACTTTACGACATTGTATTCACGATGTATTTCAAGAATAACATATCTTCACTGTTTTTTTCTCAGAGATCAAAGTACTTTACGACATTGTATTCACGATGTATTTCAAGAATAACATATCTTCACTGTTGTTTGTTTTTCAGAGATCAAGGTACTTTATGATATTGTATTGCAGATAGGGTTGGCAGTAAACAAAACATTGCACTCTCATTATATATATTCTTGCCTTTGTTCATTAGACGGTGACGTTTTGATCTTTGTCTTGTGTCAAACCATACTTGTCATTCCTCTATGTTCACAGTGAATATATATAGTAAATGGTGAAGCAACGTACTGGCCACTGATATTATTGATGACGAGAAACCCACTTGAAGTAAAAATATTTAGCAGAGACGGCTGGTATGGGTATTAAAAACTTTCAAACTGTCTTAGTTAACCTGAAGATGACCTAAGAAGGTCGAAACGTTGTTCTTGTACTTTATTTTAATTAAAGTTTTTAATACCCATACCAGCAGTCTCTGCTATATATGGCCATTGATATATATATATATATATTATTAACTTTAAGTGAAAATGTCTCTTTCAAGTGGGGTTTCTGAGATTTGGTAGTAGGTATGCGTCTTTATGTTTTTGATGAAGTAACTGACGCATTTATACAGAAACCAATACATTTTTTTTCTGTCTGTATATGCTCATATTGACCTATTTGATATTATTCCTATGGGTTATCTAAAATAGTGTTAACGTTTTCCCTAGTGGTTAGTGTGAAGAGGAAGTGTATTCTCTTAGGAAAATCTCACAAAAGATAATTTAGGCTTTTGTTCTCTTTTGCAAAATGATGACGTTGCATATTAGTATATCCATAACTTTGTATGTAGAGCAACAAGCATGAAATTATTTGTCTGCCTGTTTCTCTAAGCCAATAGGCACTTGTCTTTAGGGGTTACCATGGTAACCTAGGAAAAAGCTTCTTGACTCTCGTGCACCTTAGCTAATGACGATATGAACGCGTTCTTGCAATGCTCGTTAAACGAAGATCAGACTTGCTGAAATGCTGAGTAAAGCAGTCCAGAAAGAACTTCAGAAAGTCACGTGAACTCTTTTGGGTAAGCAAAACTATTCTGATATCTAAGTGATTTCATATATCACTTTTCCGAAAGAAAAAGTACAGTCGAGTAGGTTCAAAATACTTCTTGGTCATTCAAAATCTATATGAAGGAGATAATACAGTAGGCTTTACAGTTTAATATCAAATAACCCTCAATTAATCATGAAAGAAAAGTTTCTTTTCTGGTTACGACATTCAAACTTACTTCTACAGATGCTTGAGAAACAAAAGCAATTGTTAATTCGATTTTCATACCAGTTTACTAGTTTTTAATGTTTTACCAACTTGTTGCACAGATCGAATTGTTTGACCTTTTTTTTAGTAATTGGTATAATATTCCTTATATCCTTGATTTTTTCCATAAACTCGTGTCTGTGTTAACTATTAAACACCTAGTTAAAACTAATTGTTTTTTTTTTGTTAAGCATGTAGCTATCTGATTTGGTAAGGTTTTATCAGATACTCGCACATGAAACACTGTTGTTTATGCGTAAATTCAGTCATGTAACGCTGTTATGTTTTTGTGGATATTCAGCTATGGAACACTGTTATGTTGTGGATATTCAGCCATTAAACAATGTTCTGTGTGTGGATATTCAGCCATTTAACAATGTTCTGTGTGTGGATAATCAGTTACGTAGATTATTATGTGTTTGGATGTTAATTTATGTAACTCTGATATATGTGTGGATATTCTGTTATAAAGCACTGTTATGTGTGAAAATACTCAGATCTGAAATATTGTTATGAGTGCAATTACTTGTTTTCATGAACACCCAGATTTGGGTTTTGTGCACAGTGTTGCTAATGTTCGAAGCAGAGCTTCTGACAAAAATTCAGATTTGAATAACTAATAAGTGTACGTTTGTTTATTTAGAAAAGCATACACTGTCAAACATCCAGATTTGAATCACTATTAAGTGTGTAACTATTCGCTTAAATAAATAGATAAGCAAGCGTTGTCACACATACAGATCTGAACGACTGATAAGTTGTGACTGTTTAAAAACGCATAGAAATTGGCGGAAGCGTTACCATACATCCTGAGCGGAATTATAGCAGATGCTTTAGAATGTTTGGGTAAGTATCAAAGTATATATCGTGATCTAAGTGAATAAGATCTAATTTTGGTAAGCCATGCTTTTTCGAACATTGAGAACTTGATTAAAATTGTCTTTTTCACCGAATTTCAACTTCCAAATCTCCACAAACTTCCACATGCGTGGTTTTAGATTTGGCATAACATCCAGAACGTAGCTAGCTATCTCGATCTTGTGTAGAAAATTTGCAAGGTAAACTAGACTGTACATCAAATGTTGAACTTACAACTGCGAATATAAGAAGATGAAAACTGGTTGTTATTTGGATCTTTACAACAAACAAAATTCTGCCTTCCTATACGAACGTCCTCCAGTTTCATGAAGCTAGATGGCGCTTAAAGATCTGAATATTTAATACAAGTGGATGAATATTCTGTTGAATTTCACGCATCTTTAAACATCGGATTAACTGTTAACTTTTACGTGAGTTGGTGCTGGTTCTTATTTCAAAGTGATGTATTTATTATAAGGCTGAAACTAACGAATATGTTTCAAAGTTAGATATCTTTTCGTAAGATATATTTTATAGTGTAAGTAGTTTACATTATATTTATATGGTTTCGTTCTAGGCAGGTATAGTAGAATGTACTTGTTTTAGTTTTTCTAGCCCATTTGTTGAACAACGTCAGAGGGCGGTCTGAATATTATCAGTAGGGCCTGGCGTGGCCTAGTGGTTAGCGTGTTGGAGTGTGGATTCTGCTCTTGATACTGCAGAAACAAATCGCACACCACACTTTGGGCCAGGGGTGCTTAATAAGAGTGACGGTGAACTCCTATTTTTCAATTAGACAAGTCAAAGAGTTGCATTGGGTGATATCGACTAGCTGCCTTCCATGTACTCTATCAGTTCAAGAGTGATGACGACCAGCATAAATAGCACTTGTAAAGCATCTGATATAAAACTATTTATTTTTGCCTTTTAATCAAAGTAAATTTCTTCAATATATTGATTTGAAGTAACTTAGTATCGGCTATCCATCCAAAGTAAATTTATTGAATATATTGATTTAGTAGTTTAGCTTTTTCTATCCACCCGAAGTACACTACTTGAATGTATTAGTTTTAGTAGTTTAGCTTTTTCTATCCATCCGAAGTACATTTCTTGAACGTATTGAGTTTAGTACTTTTAGCTTTTTCTATCCATCCGAAGTACATTTCTTGAATGTATTAATTTTAGTACTTTAGCTTTTTCTATCCATCCGAAGTACATTTCTTGAATGTATTAATTTTAGTACTTTAGCTTTTTCTATCCATCCGAAGTACATTTCTTGAATGTATTAATTTTAGTAGTTTAGCTTTTTCTATCCATCCGAAGTACATTTCTTGAATGTATTAGTTTTAGTAGTTTAATTTTGTCTATCCATCCGAAGTACATTACTTAAAATAAATTTAATAAATTTATTCAGTGTATTGATTTAAAATAATCCAGTTTCGGCTATTCATCTACAGTGAGTTTCTCAACGTATTCATTTGTAGTAATTTAGTTTCACTTATTCATTTCTCAACGTATTCATGTGAAGTAATTTACTTTCCGCTATCCATCTAAAGTAAATGTTCTCAATGTATTGTTTATAGATACGTAGTTTTACAGTATTTTCCGTAAGATCTGGAAAAGCTATGACTTAATGTTCATTGTAACATTTAACTCTGTTACAGAATGAAATAAATTTAACTATGCAGAGTGTGGAAAGGTTCAACAAAACTTAAACCAGTCTATATAATTACTGGATTTATAGTCGTATAATATTTAATGTATGGGGGGAGACTTTTGTAGTTTAATAATGGTCTTTAAGCAATTAATTCTCTTAATATTGTTGATAAAAGGCGATATATCTTTGACTTCAGAGAAAAGCTCGGTAGGGGTGTATTTTAAATAATGGTCAGCACAAGTTGACAAATTTTTCGGTAGCATGGTATCTGTTAAAAACTGGAATTATTAGTTTGTGTGTCTTAGATGAACTCATCCTAAAGAACAGCGTCAGAAATAGAAAATGAAGCTACAGCGATGAAAAAAACAAACAAAAAAAAAACTGAAAATACAAAGAAATGCTTAAAATTGCTCTGTCACCATGACGATCTGAATCAGGCCAAGGTTAGGGTCAACAGAAACATTGACTAGAGAGTTCTTTTTTTCATTTTTTTTATAGGGCAAAATTGCTTGTATGTTAATTACAAATCATTTTTGGTTGGTTTACAGTGTTGAATCCAGACCTTTCTACAGGGTGGGAAGGGAATGTGATGCTGTGTGTATGGGGAGGGGGAGTGGGGATGAATTAAAATTAAAATTCGACATAATGGAAAATACTTTAACTAAAATACTTGAATCTACAAACTTACATTAATATATTTCATTGTTATTGGTTATGATACTTAAATGTATAATCCGTTTTTATAATCGATGGGTCCAGGTGTTCGATGAAATAATAGTAAATCCTGACTCGTGTATCACGACTTTATTTTGGTTGTTAGCGTTTTTCAGTAAAAAAAAAAAAAGAAGAAAAAATAACGTATACAAAAAGACAAAATAGTTAAAATATTTCAGGGGGATTTTTTTGACAGGGGAATTCCCCCCCCTGCATGTACAACCTCTGCATTCAACACTGCTTATTTGAAACTGATGCTCTTAGCAAACTGAATCGTTGAGTCTCGAGTTATTACTATCAATCTATGTAAAAATGAGCATTAATAGGTTGGTAACTTGTTTTTGTGGTTCACTTTCTGACATTTCATTGTAACTCAGGTCTCCAGTGGCACAGCGGTACGTCTGCAGACTTACAATGCTAGAAACCGGGTTTCGATACCCGTGGTGGGCAGAGCAGAGATAGTCAGTTGTGTATCTTTGTGCTTAACTTCAAACAAACAAACCCAGCCCTCTTGTTCACTGATTACTAATATACATCACTCTGTCTCGTTTACTTTCTGCACGAGTAACCACAATCACGCCTTAGTAATTCCATTATAAAACAAACATTAACACCTGCACGTTGTCAGGGCGATCTGTCACAAACATATTAATTTCATTAGTTTTGATTGGCATATAGTTAGGTAGTTTTAACTTCAAATACTTATAACTGTTCAACCTATTACAGTTGTATAAAGCTTAGTAACACTAGACCAGTTTCAAATAATAGATTAACTTTAATTCTACACACCACTAGCTGTTAACAAATATACAAGCTGGAGTTATGCCAAGTTCAACTTCTAGTAACGTTAGTAGTATTTTAGTTGATCATTTATTTCCATTTCTAGTTCTTTTTTAACTGTATTCCTCTATTTACTAATATTTTAATTTGTATTCTAAGAGAAATCTCACAGAGTACAGCTAACAGTCACTCCTAATTTACATACTGGTAACTCCAGTCACTCTACTAACATTCAAACTCCGTATGCAGGTCACTCTTTTCCCTCTACTGGCATTTGAACTCCTGATCCGTATACTGGCCATCAGTAGTTCAACTGTCAGTAGAGTATCAGTAGTTCAACTGTCAGTAGAGTGACCAGTATACATGACCAGTATACATATCAGTAGTTTAGCTGTCAGTAGAGTTACCAGTATAAGGATCAGGAGTTCAAATTTCAGTAGAGTGACCAATATACATATCAGTAGTTCAACTGTCAGTAGAGTATGTATACTGGTAACTCTACTGACATTTTAACTCCTGATCCGTATACTGGTAACTCTACTGACATTTTAACTACTGATTCGTATACTGGTAACTCCAGTCACTCTACTGACATTTGAGATGCTTTTGTTCGAGAGTGCACTATTGATTATGAAGTTCAACGCTTGCATGGTATGTGGCCTTCAGTCATAATCTCAGCCATTTTCATAGACCGGAAGTAAACAGTAAAATAATTGTAAATGCACGAAAGTCCTACAGCAGAAAGGATCTTATTCATTATTCTTACTGTAATCGATTCTTCCTCTTCAGATACTAAATAGTAATACTCAGAACGAGCGTCTTATAATCATGTTAAAATCACAAAGTCCAGAGTCTATTTGTTCGGAAAATTACGCATATTTCCCCCGAATTTTCTGGTAATACTGCCTGGCAGATATTGGTTTATTTTATATGCATCCGACGTTAACTAGGCTATTGTATAAAAAAAAACTTTCTTTCAAAATTCTGAACGATGGAGTTTATTTACGAAAAATGGAGACTACTGTAAATAATACATCTATCTTCAGATAATGTAAATGTTTAATTGGTTAAATATAAGTATTTTTGTATAATTTTAGCTCTGGATATAAAAACGGCAAGGCTAGATTTGAATAAACGTCTTGAGGTTTGTGTTTCAATAGACACTTAGGTAACTTGCAAATCTTGTCACATACTCAGAAGCAAACAAAGCGTATAATGTATAATAAAATCTTCCCTGATTTCACAAATAAGCGTGAATCTCCGGTGACGTTTCGATGGCAACCATCGATCAGGAAAACAACTTTTTTATAGCTACGCAATATTTATATGAGTTTCAGTTGTATCTAAGAAAATTGTTTTTAGCTACATGGTGCGAACAGTAATGTCATGGAATAAGTACACTTATATATACTGTGGATAAAGGTCTCTTTAGAATTCATCAGGACAGGTGATGCTCTAGGATAATATACTGTGGATAAAGTTCTCTTTAGAATTCATCAGGACAGGTGATGCTCTAGGATAATACAACGTGGATAAAGTTCTCTTTAGAATTCATCAGGACAGGTGATGCTATAGGAGAATATACTGTGGATAAAGTTCTCTTTAGAATTCATCAGAACAGGTGATACTACAGGAGAATATATACTGATTAAATTTCTATTTAAAGTTAATCAGGACAGGTGATACTATAGGAGAATATATACTGGTTAAATTTCTATTTAAAGTTAATCAGGACAGGTGATACTATAGGAGAATATATACTGGTTAAATTTCTATTTAAAGTTAATCAGGACAGGTGATGCTATAGGAGAATATATAGTGAATTAGCTTTTCTTCTACAACTGATTAGATCAGATAATTTTGTACTAACAAGTGTTCTGAATAAAATAGTATTTTACACTAATTCAGATCAGCCAGAAGGAACTCATCCAAGCTGGTGTCTTCTGTGATAATTAGGTAGTGTCGTGGTTTGTAAGCTAATGTCATTTCATATTATACATCAAGCCAGGGGGCGTTGTACGAATAGATGTTCTAGAAAAAAATTGTCGCTTATAATGCACTAAACTAGAAGACATTGTGACAACTAAAATACTTATTTTGCACAAAAAACACAATAAAAACATCCTAGATGAAATGCGCATATTTTCTTTCATTTCTTCTTGTTGAAAATTCTGATATTTTAGGACTGTTTCAATAATCTTATATCGGCCGTTTACGTTTTTAATTACTCCCTATTTTATAAGTTTATACGGCTTGTTTGTATTAATTTCCTGTTCTTCAATTTAAGGTCATACTTCTAGTCCACGCACGGGGTGAAGAAGAATTGATTAATCTTCGAGCACCCATGATTATTAATTTTTTCGAAGAAATAATTAATTTTAAATCAAAATAACTGCCAGAAATAATATCCTTAGTGGGATATTTTTCAACCAAACATAAAACTGTCATAAAATGTAGCTGAGATTTAGATTCAGATGTATGAGAGTCGATAAATTGAAACTCTATTTCCCGGGCTTTTAACCAGCGATTATTATGTAGATATTTGGTCAGAATAAATCAACAATTTATTAGAGCTTTCCGGAAGCCCCTCAGTAGCACAGCGGTATGTCTGCGGACTTACAACGCTAGAATCCTGGTTTCGATACCCGTGGTGGGCAGAGCACAGATAGCCCAATGTGTAGCTTTGTGCTTAACTTCAAACAAACAGACAAGCTTTCCGGAAAAACATTTACTATATACAGATGAAGACAAAGCCGACTTACAAACTCAAATTGGATCATCGATATTATAACAAAATTATTTGTATAGATTTTATCATTGGAAACTCTTCTACGCAATTACAACTTTTATCATTGTGGACGAGTCCTAATGTTGTACGTACTACTTTTATCTTGAGTTAGTGCTTTTATTTAAAAAGGAATTGAGTTTTAGTATCTTTAACAGTTCTAAAAAGTATAGGGGGGACGTTTTACTATAAGAACAGCCCTTTTTCGAGAGTATTTATTCCTTTCTATCAAAATAAAGATCACTCTTTAAGGTTATCACTGTTCAAAGTTAGCAGTACACGTTCAACATCAAGACAATTTCTTGAAAACCTCTATATGATTTCGAGAGTATTTATTCCTTTCTATCAAAATAAAGATCACTCTTTAAGGTTATCACTGTTCAAAGTTAGCAGTACACGTTCAACATCAAGACAATTTCTTGAAAACCTCTATATGATTTTTTATTGTAAATAACATTCCTCAGAGCCAACTTTTATCATCAACACCATGTATAAAAGTTATCTTTACAGCCTTTTATTATTAAGACCGCTATCCAGAGTTATTTATACATTCGACATCGTAAGGAAGAAACCTGAAGGAAGTGTTTCAGATAGTCCTATCAGTAACACTCCTGAAACATATCAGTGCATTGCTTCATTAGGAATACTCCTGACGTGTATCAGTACAGGCAGGAAGAAACCTGAAGGAAGTGTTTCAGATAGTCCTATCAGTAACACTCCTGAAATATATCAGTGCATTGCTTCATTAGGAATACTCCTGACGTGTATCAGTACAGGCAGGAAGAAACCTGAAGGAAGTGTGTTTCAACTAGTCTTATCAGTAACTCTCCTGAACTATATCAGATACACATCATAAATACTCCTGATATGTATCAGTACAGGCATCTAAGGAAGAAACGTAATTCATGTAAATACAGGTATTTAATTTGTCATTTGTCTAAACATTACAAATAATGCCCTTTTTGTAGCAAGTAAAAACCCGGTGGGCCAAAGGTAAGCTTACGGACTTATCGAGATATAAGTTGTTAATGTAATATATATTAATTTAAGAGTTATTAGTAGCACATTGTGTAATATAATACTTTAACTTTGTTAGTTTGTTTTTCATTTCGCGCAAAGCTACACGAGGGCTATCTGCGCTAGCCGTCCCTAATTTAGCAGTGAAAGACTAGAGGGAAGGCAGCTAGTCATCACCACCCACTGCCAACTCTTGGGCTACTCTTTTACCAACGAATAGTGGGATTGACCGTCACATTATAACGCCCCCGGCTGAAAGGGCTAGCATGTTTGGTGGGACGGGTATTCGAACCCTCGACCCTCAGATTGCGAGTCAAGCGCCATAATCACCTGGTCATGCCGGGTCATCACTTTAAGAGTTATTAGTAGAACATTGTGTAAAATATAGTACTTTAAGAGTTATTAGTAACACATTGTGTAATATATATTACTTTAAGAGTTATTAATAGCACGTTGTGTAATATATATTACTTAAAGAATTATTAATAGCACGTTGTGTAAAATATAGTACTTTAAGAGTTATTAGTAACACATTGTGTAATATATGTTACTTTAAGAGTTATTAATAGCACGTTGTGTAATATATATTACTTAACGAATTATTAGTAGCAACATAGATTAAGTATGTTTTGTATATATATATATTTGACTCATGTTATACAGAAGTGTAGCAGAACATAACACTCTTTGTGTCCAGTCATGATACACTTCAGAAATCCTTCTCTTCCAGAAGATCAACATTCTTTATCTTCCTTGCTTCAAGAACTCGAAATACTTTTTTCTCTGCCAGAACTGTATCTAAGGATGAAGTTTCTGCCGGCTTAAAGACCTAAAGAAAATATCTTAATAAACAACCTTTTTTGGACTTCTTCTTGTTAACACAGAATTTTACAAATGCCGCAGAGAAAGGGTCTGCTTGCTCCACAAAATACGTTTTTAGATACCATAGCAAATCGGTTCGATGGCACACGTAAGTACAACAAACGGCTGGTATTTTAATATATTTTATAAGTAACAGTCAAGTCCATTTTTATAGTTAGTTCCATTAAATATTACTTCTGATCAAGTTCATATATTTTTGGGGGATTATTTGCACTTACGAATGTTATTTTAGTGTGGAGTAAGGATTAACCTAAATCTCCTAAGCTGGTCGACTTTCGTGAGTTGATATGAGACCTGAATATTTCGTTATTACCGGATAATTCAGCGAATTCTAATCATTATAGATTTTCGTTTTCTAGCATGCTGATTTATAACTCTAAGTACTTCCAGTCAGTTTTTATGCATTAGTGTTTCTTGGTACTTTTAATTTCTTAAGTTCTCATTTATAAATATTCAGATTATTTTTTATCATAAGGTACTAAAAATTACAACGGAAAATTTTCTTATTTTGCTTCTTTTCTATGTATAATTTACGTCTTCTTGGATATGTATGCTATTTATGTCCTAAAATAAACTCTCTGAATTAAAAAAAGGGTTAGCGTAGCAGTTTTTTTCCATGGATTTTCAACTATACATATTTGTAGCACTTAATTTTTAGATGGAAAAAAAAGTAACGGATCTCTGTTGATGAGTTGAATGTGGAATCTTGAATTTGGAAGATTAATAATTTTGACGTTATTGAGGCTACTATTTGGGATGGGGCTGGAAAGAAGTAATGTAACTTAAAAAATTAAAACGCCTTCAGGATCTCAGATCCGGAGAGATTCGTCAGAAATTAATCACTGTCAATAGTGCTTACATTACTAATAAATACATCATCTTCACTTATCCTTTTTACATTTTTTCGTCACCATCTAAACTTGGGGGGTAGATTTCTGGTGCTTCAATGTTTGAGTTGTAAAAAACAAAACTAGTAATTTTCATACTCATTATACCGCGAGTTGGTTACAGTCAGTACTTAACAGGAGAGGACGAGAAGTAAAAATGTAACGTTCTAACTTTAGCGTTTTCGTCATGGGTCTACTAAACAGGAAAGAAGGTTTTTTTATTGTACATTTTTTTTATGTAGTTGTATTTTTTAACGTTGTTCATCTGCACACTAGATAACTCTCGTCCATTGAAAGAAAAAAGGTTCCGGATTTGGTGACCGGTACAAATTAACCCTTGCATATTTCAGATGAAATAAGCTATATTACCTCACATCAACACCATTCCACGGGCACATTATCCGTTAAAGATCTTATCAAGATGTATTTGCATTGTGCTTCTTAGAAATAGCCACTATAACGTTAACTGCAAGATAATTTTGAAAAATGTAAAACTCTAAAAATTACTTATCATGAGTAATTTGACTTTTTTTTTCGAAAAGGCATATATATATAATTTCTCAAGAAGTCAGGTAATGTCTAACTAATCTGGATCAGCCTTTTACCCGTGCTATGGAGATGTTATTCTTGTTTCGAACCTGTACGACATCAGCTATTCACGAGATTAGTCTTCAGATCGTAACACATTCTTCATTGTCCGGATCTTTGCCTTTAGCATCAACTTATCGGGCTTATTTCTGCAGGATCTAACGTTTTCGGCGAGATTTTGTACCACTTAGCGAGCAATAAAGAAAAATTAGGGCACAATAAAAATATATGTGTCATGAAGCAATACGTGTAACGTTCCTCGTAAATACACGTCTTTATGACATCAGAGGTACAGACTGCATGTTCAAGGGACACTTTAATAGTAGTTTGGCATGTAGAGGTGGCTGCTCATCTATCTATGTGATGAAAGTTGTCCTTTAGGTGTCGTGTACGTTGTCTAAAGTAAGATTAAAAGTCAAATCGTCTAACTTCAAGAATGAATTTCGAAAAAAAAGCACAAAAGTCACTAAATAATACAATTTATTATAAACTGACCAACTGCTACTAAACTCAATGTAGTGTTTGAAAATACTAAAAAAAACGTATTAAACAACTAATTTCAATGCTCATAAAAAAGAAGAGAGTAAGAGTGTATTCGACCTCCAGTTTTTTTTTTTAATTTCGCGCAAAGCTACACGAGGGCTATCTGCGCTAGCCGTCCCTAATTTAGCAGTATAAGACTAGAGGGAAGGCAGCTAGTCATCACTACCCACTGCCAACTCTTGGGCTACTCTTTTACCAACGAATAGTGGGATTGACCGTCACATTATAACGCCCCCACGGCTGAAAGGGCGAGCATGTTTGGTGTGACGGGGACTCGAACCCGCGACCCTCAGATTGCGAGTCGAGCGACGTAACCATCTGGCCATGCCGGGCCCCGACCTCCAGTTCAACATATAATTTGGCTGGTTATTTTTAGTAACCGAAAGGCTTAGAAATTCTACTAAAAACAAGAAATTTAAATGAGATGAGAATCGCTTTGTTATCTCGTATATTTGTTTGTTTGTTTGAAGTTAAGCACAAAGGGCTATCTGGGCTCTGCCCACCACGGGTATCGTAACCCGGTTTCTAGTGTTGTAAGTTCGCAGGCATACCGTTGTGCTACTGGTGTTTCATTTGGCATGAAATTGAACTTTTCGTTTTTCACATTGGTATGTTAGTGCAATCCATTAAAACGATTAGCTTCAACATATTTTTCTTGACAATCAGTAACTAAAAGGAAATATATTGCCATACCATGAATATATTTGTTCAACATAAATAGTTCGCGAAACATGACACGTATTCTTATAACGTAAACACATCCTATGATCATACTGGTATAGGCTGTCGTTTGTGGGGTAAGACGAAATGTAGGTCTGGAATTTTTCAGCACTTTCTGTTAGAATTCTGATAGAATCCACGTTTTCATGGTCACATGTGAGTGTGTGCGTGTGTGTGGAAAATCAAAAATATGACATACATCTTTTCATGTTCACAAGTAATGGAAAAAGGAAATATAAACATGTGTGTGGGGTAAACTCAGGAAATATCATGCACTTATTTGCTTGGTGACATGTGGAGGAAAAATGAAATATGAACATGTTTTCATGGTCACATGTGGGGCGGGGAGGTCTTAGGAAATATCATGCACATATTTTCGTGGTCACATGTAGGTGAACTCACAAAATATCATGCACATGTTTTTATGGTCACGTGTATGGGGGGAATCAAGAAATATCATGCACATGTTTTTATGGTCACGTGTATGGGGGAATCAAGAAATATCATGCACATGTTTTTATGGTCACGTGTATGGGGGAATCAAGAAATATCATGCACATGTTTTTATGGTCACATGTATGGGGGGGACTCAAGAAATATCATGCACATGTTTTTATGGTCACGTGTATGGAGGGAGACTCAAGAAATATCATGCACATCTGAATTAACCAGTTTATAAAGATAAGATTTTTAATAGAATTTAGGAGAAGATTGTTCGATTCCTCAACATTTTGTTTCACAAGGGCTTAAGCCCACCAATTCTAAACTGTTAAAGTGTACTACAAACATACTTAACACAGTCTAAATTTCGTTTTTTTACTATCAGTCTTTGTCTGTGTGAAAATAAAAAGTATTAGAATTGAGTAATTTATAGTTGTTCATCAAAGGCTCTGTAACAATCAAACGCTTGCAATAGAGGGTGTAGAAAGTCTTATTAATTAAAGTTTTAATTTTATCACAACTAATCCACGTTTTGAGAGCTAAAACAATGGTTTGGCGGCCTGACTTTTTAAAATCAAGTCTGGTTTGTTCATAATGTTTAAAATTTCTGAGAACTTGAAGGAGTTTCTACAGTTATTGTCATTCCCTTTTTACTTTATGTTTAACTTTAGGAATTTAAATATCTACGTTTTATCCTAAGAGTTACATAACATTGAGACACCCGCCATAAACGCATTATGACGTGCTTACTAAAAGCGTAATTTCGTTTTCAGATAGCAACTTTGTGCTCGGAAATGCCCAAGTGGCTGCAGTTTTTCCGATCGTTTATTGTTCTGATGGATTTTGTGAGCTGACAGGATTTTCTAGGGCTCAGATAATGCAAAAGGGCGTAAGCTGTAACTTCCTATATGGGCCTGAAACTACAGATGACGCCAAGGAAAAAATTGAAGACGCCTTGAAAAACAAAGTTGAAGTGAAACTGGAGGTGATATTTTACAAGAAGAACGGTGAGTGAAGCAATAGCATTACTTCTTATCGTTTTTTTTTTATATAGATATTGTCACCAGTCCCTTATCCACGCTTTCAGATTCTAGATTTTATTTTTCCACATAGTTACGTTTTTCTTCCCTTCATTAAGCCCCTCGGTGGCACAGTGGTATGTCTGCGGACTTATAACGCTAGCATTCGGGTTTCGATACCCGTGGTGGGCAGAGCACAAATAGCCCATTGTGTAGCTTTATGCTTAACGTAAACAAACAAACAAACCCATCATCAATGGTTTTAGTTTGGTATTCATCTAGCTCATCAAATCCGGTTCTATCTATCGTATTTTTCAAGTACGTTGTTTATCATCCACATTCTAGGTTTTAATGTCCACTTTTGAGGTTTTTATTCCTTTATGTCCATCTTTCATATTTGAAACTTCTTTTGTTTATGATCAAAGTTTTCACACTTTTCTCTCCTTCTTTCAACTTTACCGTTCATCTCTTTTGTTCCTTGTAATCCTCTTCATCACCTACGTTACAGGTTTTGCTTTTCTGTCCATCGCCCATTTTATGGTTTTACAAATCCTCTCCAAGATTTTGCAAGTTTTATTACGTATCGCCCCTCAGTGGCACGGTGGCATGTCTGCGGACTTGCACCGCTAGAATCCGGGTTTCGATACCCGTGGTGGGCAGAGCACAGATAGCCCATCGTGTAGCTTTGTGCTTAAATACAAACACTCTATTATGTATCATTCATTTTTTAAGGTTGTGCTGTTAGTTGCATAGGTTTCAAGGTTTTCTTGTATATAACTTATATTCTAAGATTCTGCTATATATTTCCCAAGTTTTCAGGACCGTCCTACAACACCCATGTTTTGGAGTTCCACTATTCATCTCTTAGGTTTTCCGATAATTATGTACAGTGTTTTAATTTTAACTGTCTATGTACAAGATATTCAACTTCCCTTGTATTTCTTTTATGGGTTTGGATTCGATCTTCATTTGTACAATTTTTTAGTTTGTATATCATAGTTTTAAGATTATTCCACTTGTTTCTCGGATTTTTAGGTACTTTCGTCTACCATCCAGATTTCAAGTCCCAAACATCACCAAGGTTTAGGTCCTTCTGTCTACCATCCAGATTTCAAGTCCCAAACATCACCAAGGGAAGCATCATTGGTTAACCTGTTTGAGCTCATAATGTTCTAAAGATGAACATTTTACAAGTTGGATGTAAGATGGAAGGATTAAAAGACTGTCTTAATTAATTCTTGAACCTTTTTATAACTACACAGAACCAGTACCTTGGATACATAATCCTAACTTAATATTCTATACGAAGGAATTTTCTACATTGATGAAAAATCAAAATTGCAGAAAAATGATGTTTTATAATATTAGCGTTACCGGAAATGAAAGAAACTACCACTGCTTATTCTTCATCGTTCTGGACGAATGGTAAATCGATATGTGTATCGACTTGTAGAGAATGTTTTATTATCAAACTGTAGATCTCACTTCTCTTTTCTAGTTTTCCAGTGAGAACTTGTTTTCAAAGAAGTCATTTGGGACAATTTCATTAGGCACCAGAAATCTTTTATAATTTATAGTAGTTTGTGAAATTTCTTGCAAAGTACTCGAAGACCATCTCCGCTAGTCGTTCCTAATATTGAAATGGTAGACTAGAGGGAAGGTAGTTAGTCAACCTGGCCCGGCATGGTCAGGTGTTACGGCGCTCGACTCGCAATCTGAGGGTCGCGGGTTCGAATCCCCGTCACACCAAAACATGCTCGCCCTTTCAGCCGTGGGGGCGTTATAATGTGACGGCCAATCTCACTATTCGTTAGTAAATAAGTAGCCCAAGAGTTGGCGGTGGGTGGTGATGACTAGCTATCTTCCCTCTAGTCTTACACTGCTAAATTAGGGACGGCTAGCGCAGATAGCCCTCGTGTAGCTTTGCGCGAAATTCAAAACAAACAAACAAGTTAGTCAACCACACTCATCATCAACTCTGGTCGAATAGTGGGATTTGGCTATCACTCTTATAACATACATGGCCCCATACTGCGGGGAGAGATTTTTTTTTTATTTAACGAGGCGGGAACTACGGAACCTCCGATCCACAGTTCGGCACGCTAATCATAGGGGCTGCGATCGGTTTAGTATCGGAACGAACTTCCTGAAAGGAACAGTAACAAAATATCATGAAATTCCTGATGAAATGAAAAGACTTTTATAAAACACTGTTATCCAATACCGAACTTTAGAAATTTCACAAAATATTATCTCTTTTTGTTTCAGGAAATTCTTTCTGGTGCTTGCTGAACGTCGTTCCAAAGAACTTCTAAGTAAATTCTCCCATCCGATGTAAATGCTGAGCTTCAGATGTTTCATTACTTTGTCTTTATTTTAGGAAGTTCCTTCTTGTGTTAGCTGGACGTTGTATCATTATATTTTGGCTGTTTTCTTTCAGGAAGTTCCTTCTGGTGCTTGTTGGACGTTGTTCCAATCAAGAATGAGAAGCATGAGGTGGTTTTATTTCTTGCCTCTCATAAAGATATCACCAAAACTAAAATGGCTGAGATGGAAGAAGAAATGTACAATGATGGTGAGTTATGTTGTTTATGATTATTTCATTAGAAATGTGAAGTAATCAGTACTTGTATTGATATAACATTATGAGAATTAATACATTATTTACTTTGATAACTACCAAGCCCCCCAGTGGCACAGCGGTATGTCTGCGGACTTACAATGCTAGAAATCGGGTTTCGATACCTGTGGTGGGCAGCGCACAGATAGCCCATTGTGTAGCTTTGTGTTTGACTTCAAACAACAACAACGATAACTAATAAATTCAATACACACATGAAATTTACGTTTATGCGTAGTCATATCTGCACATGAAGTTCAGTTAGGATTTACACCCTGACGAATATTAATTAACGTGCCAGTGACAATTAAATTCGGCATTTTAACTGTATCGAGGAATGAACAGATAGCACATGGAAATTAAGTTTGTTTGTTTCTTGTGATGGCTGGCCAGAGTGAAAGTTTAATTTATTCTTCGTGCTATGACGTTTAGTCTCTCCCTGACTAATTTTGGTCAGAGTACACATCATAGAAGTTAAATTTGAATACTTTAAACATGAGTGTTTGATTAGCGATGCTGAAATCTAAAACTGCTTTGACTTTAGTGGAAAAGCTTTTTTTTTCTAGAGCGAACTCTGGTGATAGACTTGTACAGCTGTGTCTAGAAAACCTTGATAATTCGGTTTAATCATCTATATTCTATATAGTGTCTTCAATAGATCTCTAAGCGCGACTGATATGCAAAGCTTTACTGTAGTCTTTCGTAGTAAGGTTTGTAATACATGAGCATTCTGATCCGAATAAACACAAGTCAGCAACTTGAGGGCTGAAGTTACTTCCAGTTGGGATTCTCTGTAGAATCTGGAAGTAAACACGATGTACGTAATAAACAACACGCAAATGCTACTTGTAATATATATGTATATATACCAACGTTACACATATCAAACAATCAGTACATATGAATACAAAACAACTACTACAACTTAACGTTACATCCTATATTAATTCAATTAATGTGTTTGTTTGTACGAGAACTCCTCCCACAGTTTTGGAGTTAGCAGTACCAAACTTGGCTGGTGGACTCAGGATGGCCCGGGAGGTGCCATTATCTATATAGAGTAGCCGCTCTACCAAAGGTAGCTAAAACGCGCCCCACAAGGTCATCCAGACACGATGGAGGTTAGAAGTTATTGAACCTGAATCTGGCATCAGATTTTGTGTTCCTGCCCCCCCCCCCGGAAGTCCGGGGCGCCATATTTATATTTCAAACTGTGTTCATACCTCCCACTCATCAGTTAACTCTGGAGGCGGGGGTTCCTCAAGGAGGAGTACTTAGCCCTACTCTGTTTATTATGTATGTCAGCGGCATGCATCTCAAAGAACCAAACATGCTTTTTGCTCACAGTTCTCAGATGATGTTGCAATCTGGAAGAGTGCCCCAAACCCAACAACAGAAACATACAACCACTACTAAACGAAATAGAAGTGTACTACAATAAGTCGAGAATTAAAATTAATGCGCACAAAACACAAGTCATATTATTCACAGACTCGTACAAAACAAGCAAATTAATACCACAGTCATATCTAGACGGAACTGTCTTGGAGATAACATCATTAAAATTCTTAGGGATAACATTTGACTTAAAATTAAACTAGATACCACACATTAATAATATAAAAACCAGAATTTGGAAAAGAGCGAGTTACTTTAGGAGCCTGAATGGCAACAAACAAGGAGCTTCACCAGAAAACATATTAACAATTTACGGAACATGCATAAAAACAGTAGTAGAATATGCCTGTATAACATGGATAAATGTACCAAAAACACACATCAACAAAGTACAGCAAATACAAAACTATATTTTAACAAAAGCATTTAGAGTCCCACGATCAAAAAACTCGGCATATCTACACAACTATTCAAACGTGCCAACACTATCAGACAGACTCTTGGATAGCTCGCTTCAATATTATAAGGAAAATATTATTAAAAATGAACTGATGAGCAAACTAGAGAGTTACATAATATATGATGAACCAAACCCTAAGTACCTCTCTCCTCTTAAACATCATAAATAAGAAACTTACTGGCCAAAGAGTGCCAGGCTAACCGAATCCTAGACACAGTCGTAGCTCTATTTTAAAAGGGTTTTGTATGTAAAAATAGGATTATGTCTGTGTGTATGTGACTGCTAAGTGAAACTGTATTGTGAATTTGTTTGTAATTATGCACAAAGCTGCATAATGGGCTATCTGTGCTCCGCTAACCACGGGTATCGAAACCAGGTTTCTAACGTTGTAACTCCGCAGACATACCGCTGTGCCACTGGGGGGGGGGGGGTATGTATTGTGAACATGGACTATTAGTACGATCATACATAAGTGAAGCTAGTGAAAATATACAAGTTAATATTACCCCATGAATTGGA